CACACACACACACACACACACACACACACCTCACATTAACACACATACAGATTAATAATATACATAACTACACATCACAAGTCTTTGCTAGTTTTGTATTTGGAACAAGACCAGAGACAGCAAATAAAAGTTGTAATGTATGACCCAGAGTATTGCCTCGGCTCAATTTAGCAATATTTATAAAATAAAGGGACGTCTATTTAAGATGGTCAACAGGTGTAACTGAAGATTTTGTGGAATGTAGCTGGCAATAAAAAAATTAAATTCATGAAACATAAAAATGGGAGGATTATGTTAGAACACTGTGCCAAGTCCTGTGCTGGTAGTTATTTTTAGGCTGTTAAAAATATAAACTTGTCTTTGCTTTCCAGCACCTGTTCTTACTCTACCAGATGTTTGTTCACAATTCCTTAAATTTCTTACAGGATGTTTCCTGCCTTTGACGTAGATTCTCTCTCCTGGGATCATTGAGCTCCCAGAAGTTATTGCAGCTGTAATAATGTGGGTGGGTTGATTAAAGAATCAGATCTGAAAATAACATAATAAATGCATATATTCTAAGGGGTGCATTTTTTTCCACATTTTAGCATGTCTTCCATTGGGGTATGTCCTACAATAAATGCCATGGTAGTGATTTTTTTCTCTCTCTTTATTGGGGATATATAAAATAATTCATCTTAAAATTGATGATGGCTTAGATGTAAAGATATATGGTAACTTACCATCTTTGCCATGTTTATGGTCACCTAGTGACTGAAGAGCCCCTTTCATTGTTGCTCAGTTTGAAACCTTGGGGGTTGTACCTTACCATAAATTTCCTTAGCATCATCAGCAGGAGTGAAGTGAGTTTAGTACAGAATGATATAAATGATAGTACTTCTTACATCAAAATCCTTATACTTTGAACAGACACTTTATCAAGTGGCTGAGCAAACACAGCAGCTTTTGAAGTATTTGAAGAGCCATTGAATTTAAGAGTCTTCATGCCCTCACTCTTCTTTAATCTTATTAGTACAGGTCTCCAGAACATGGCTCTTTCTTGGTTCAAATTTAAGGACATAGATTATACAATAAAGCTTAAAACTTATCTATGTCAACCTGTTGATAGATACATCAAATACTTAGGAAGCTATTGAATTTAAAATAAGAAGAAATCATAATATTTTTAAATGACATTCAAATGGATAGGGACCTATTTGATCTCTTTTTTAGAAAAATCTTCATAAAATAATTCCATCATTCTATCATTTTTTTTTTCCTACTGTAATTTGCCAAATTGAGCAAGGTAAAGTTTTCGGTCCAATATTTTGTATTCACCAATAAAATGACTGAACGAACCTAATGAATAAAGATGGATCTAGAACAAATACAATAAATGTCAGATATTCAGACACCATAAGGAATGTTAAGAATTCAGTCTTTTAACATCAATCTTTTAAATTGAATTAGACTAATCATTTCGATGAATATCACTTTATCTGCTTTTTAAATTTTTATTCCTTTCATATCCTATTCATTCTGGTCACTTTATCCTTAGAATCTCACCTTTAGAATTAAACAAGAAACAGTTTACAAAATGATTCTGCCTGCTTCTCTGTATAAAATAGATGCCCCGATGTAGAGAGTAAGGTAATTAGATTACATTCGACTGGTGTATTCATCCCAGCTCTGCTACTAAACTGGTGGCATGTTTCTGGACACACACATTCTCCCCTTCTACTTTTGTCTCCCCAAATTGTGCATCAGTGTCCTTATATTTCTATTCAAAATCTCATTGATATATCTATGCCTCTCCATTCCTTCTCTCCAGGTTTAACCATACTACTATTTTTGGACCCTTGTAAGACTCCTGAGTGTTCTCTCTGACCTGGTCTTTCCTTTGTCCGTCTTATTCTACCCTGACCTCTAGGTTAATTTTCTTAATTGTCAAACTCTTTCTCACCAGGCTTCAACATTCTCATACTTAATTACCAAACTGAATCTTAACAGTCTAGCCCGGCTTTCAAAACCCATTATAGACAGACAATCAATCCTACCTTTCCTCCTTGGCTCTACTTCTCATTGCATATTGCTTTCTGCTTTATTTATAGACATTTCATGTGCATGTAATGTCTCTCCTTACAGGCTGCAAGTTGTGTGTAAACTAAGACTATATCTTAGTCATTTTTTTATCATGCACAGTGCCTTATACATTGTGTGTATTCAGTAAGTTAGTGGGAGAGTAAAGAGAACTTCTTCTACTTTCCTTTAATACAAAAATATAAGATATGTAATTTGGCCTTTTTTGGTGAATCAGAATTGTCCTGAATGTTTCAAAGATGTATTGAGAAGCTTTTAAGAAAAGATATTCTGTTCAGTGTTGGGAGGTAGCTATGAATGAAAGAAGGCCTGCTGAGAGTATCCTGTGGATTTGGAATTGGAAGCCATATTTAAAAAATAATTTTAAATAAGTGTACATTGGCTCTGAGTTATGTTTTCAGAGAGATGTTCTTTAGTGGATGATGGGGGTTTGCAGGGATACTGGTGCTGTATGAGTGCCCTGTCACATGTGTTTGTGCATGTGTGTGTGCATATGCATGTGCATGTGAGGAAGAAGGAGTATGGAAATGCCTAAGTGAGAGCACAAGAGTCAATCAACCCAGTTGCTCAAATAACTGCTTTTGTTTGTTGTCCTTCTAGGCACCATCCTTAAAAGATGGGTTTCTTAATTCTTGAATAGTATGTGGGTAGTAATTCACAATTCTAAGACTCTTCCACAATTATTATTAATCTAGTGTTTTAAATTATTGTCATTTCTGGAGTTTAAGGGTTGCTTTCCCAAAGGACGTTATTGTATTCCCTGAGTAATATGGACACAGGGCTGGGTAATTCCAAAAGTGGCCACAGCAGAATGTTTCCTTTAAATTATAGATCAGAGAAACAGGTCCAAACTGATGTTTTGAAAGTTGTATTATGGCTTTTGTAAGCTTTTGCTTTATAGCTACAAATTATATATATTAAGTGAGTAGATTCCAGCCATTTTGAGTGTGATGATCCCTTTCAGTGTCAAAAAGAAATGGATTATTTTATAACAATTGTTCTTTCAGCATCCTTGATTGAAAAAAATATATATAAGCAAAACCTTACTCTAAGTCCTATGACTTTTTAAATGCATCTGCATTTTATTAATCAAAAAATACATATTATTTGAAATACAGTATCAGATGTATGTAATAATATAATGTAGTCTTCAGACAACGTCTGAAGCAAATATAGATCCCCAGTCCCTTCTAGTAATGTAATTACTCATTCAATGAGATCCTTATAATAACACAGCTACCAGTGAATATCAGCCCACTCAATGGGAACCCCTGCTTTTGGTGAGATACTTTCTGTCTGCAGACACTACTACCAATAATAATGTAATTTTAACTAGTAATCTAATAATTGATACTCTGTTACAAAAGTTTTTAAAGTATTCTAGGACGTTATTCTCTAAAATTGTACTTGTTTTTCTTCTTTTTGTTTTTTGAGGATTTGTAAAGTATTTAATGAACTAGGATGAGCAAAAGCTAAACTTTAAATTTAATAGTTCCTTTCATTCCACAAGGCTCCATTTATTTACAATGTCTCCAGTTATTTAATTTCGCTGTGTTTTGCCATTAAGTGATATGGTGTGCTCAAGTCATTTTCAGATGTACTGAGTGACTTTAGAATGTGCCTGTGCCCAATTGTCATCTTTTGAATCTCAACCAATTGTTCTTTCTCTGTTCCTCTCTCATTAAATGCCAATAATCTGATTATCAGTTTGAATTTGAGTCAGAGCAGGCTGACCTAGATTGAATGAAATGCAGCCACCCCTCCCAGCAACAGTTACTTTAGTGAATTCTTCCGCATCTCTTACCCAGGCAGAGGTTCCCGAAGCAAGAAATTATGATCATTGTTTGTCACCCACATGTGCTTTTAATGTGATATATTTTTAAAATGTTTTTTTTTTATTTGTTTTTGAGAGAGAAAGAGCATAAGCAGGGGAGAGGCAGTCAGAGAGGGGGACAGAGGATCTGAAGCAGGCTCTGCATGACAGCACAGAGTCCGATGCAGGGCTCAGAGTCACAAACCGTGAGGTCATGACTTGAGCCAAAGCCTGACGCTCAACAGACTGAGCCACCGAGGCACCCCCGTGTCATACTTTTTAATGAAAATCTGATCATAAATTTGAACATAATAGCCGTAGCTTTTACTTTGTTGCAAAGACAATAATGAAACATATCTAATAGCTCAGCATGAAAAATCGGATGTTACACTGGAGCAGAACACAGGATGGCAACATGAATGTACCTGTAGCATGGGCGGGGAGTATGTTTACGAGATCCTTTGTGTGCACAGGAGGCCTGCTTAGTTCTGCATCTTCAGACACATGTGGACACTTGGTTCACTTTTGTGTTCCTCACTTCGATAACCAGGATCTAGAACTGGAATGAATTCAGAGATGGGGAATGCGTAAAAACACATTTCAAATGAGGAAGTATTAAAGGTTCTGAGATTGTATTTAGTATGTATTTAGTAATAGATGCAGAGGATACATGGAGATAGCATAACTATTATTAAATATTTGAAAGGTTACTGCATTTTGAATCTGTTCTCTATGGCTTTTCTGGATTGAAAAGTCCCAAGGAGTCAAAAATCTCCACTTACTAAAGAGGTGAATTCCTAATGAATAGAATAGGTCACATTAAGAGAAAAGTAGATTCTCTGTTAAGATGTATAGTGTGTCCCAGGCTGGATGATCATGTGATAAGCTGTGATAGGATAGCAAGGATCAAATGGGTGTGTGGACCAGATAGTCTCCAGCGCCCCTTTCAAACATAAGAATCTCTGAATTATTAGAAAAGAAGTGCATATATAACACAAATCATGATTTAACAGTGTTCAGAATACTCGCTTTTAAATTGCCGTCTCAGAACGTGTTTTATAATGTCTCATTTAACCACTGAACCATTGTGATTCCTTAAAAGCTTTACATTCAGAATTGTGCTAGATACAGATGCAGCAGAGTATGGAGGGCACCAGAGACTGGACCATAGTACCGAGTTTTTCTCTCAACCTTTTAAACATAATGAACGTCCCTGTTCTCTTTTGGTAAGTAAGCTTTTTAAGATCTTTTCATTGCATTTCAATTTTACCATTTATTTTTTTTTAATGTTTATTTTTGAGAGAGAGAGTGTGTGTGTATGGGGGAGGGGCAGAGAGGGAGGGAGACACAATCCAAAGCAGGCTCCAGGCTCCCAGCTGTCATCCCACAACCCGACTAGGGGCTTGAACCCACAAACCGTGTGCATGAGATCGTGACCTGAACTGAAGTCAGACGCTTAACCAACTGAGCCACCCAGGTGCCCCAACCCTTTATTTTTAAGGTGATGTTTTTATCCAAAGAAACAACAAGTCTTTGACCTGCTAAAAGAGAAAACAAAAGCAAACAAACAAACAAACAAAAGAAATGGGGTCAGGGATGATAGAGAAGAAGTGAGTTGAAATATTCAGAGGCAGTGTATGTGGTACTGAGCTGAATTCAGTTTTGGAAAATAATAGCAGGAGGTATTTGGTGGACAATTGGGGAAGTTTGTTTATTAATAGGATTAAAAATGTTCCTCAAAAAATAAGGGGAAGGCATTTTTTTTCTATTTTTATACAACAGTTTACTTCCCTTCTGTTGTTGCTTTCTGTGTAATATTTTGCATCAAGCAGAATTCTCCATTATTGACTATCTAATGAAGTGTAATTTAAAACACCTTAAAAGGGTAAATAAAAAATATATCTTTTTCTTCCCTGTAGTCAATTAAAGACTGAATTCATTCTAATTATAAGATTTTCTTATTTCTTCATATTACTGAGGAAAACATTATATAAACTCATTTTTACTTTGTGTTGTTAACACCTGAAAGAATATTGCTTCAAATTACTAGGTTTAGATTCTTTTAAAAATGTAGAATTTAGAAACTCTCTAGATTTGGAAGAAGAATTCTTTGTCTACTTTGTGTCCAGGTAGTAAGCTCAAGTCCATACATCTACATTATGTTGTTTTGGTTTTTTTTTTTTTTCCTTTTCCTGACCAGTCATATACCTCCCTCCTCTCTCCCTCTCATGCTTTTGCTAGCTCTAACTCATTCTTACTTTCTCTCACCCTCTTGTCCTCTTTCTCTTCCTCGCTCTCTCTCTCTCTCTCTCTCTGGCTCAAATCTGCAATTTTTTCACCATGAGAGGTCTTAGATTAAGATTTGTTTCACTTTTATGAAGCCAGGATATATCTAACAAAAGTATAGACAGCGTTATCATAGCTGTTAAATTCTCTTGTTTTTTTAAAAATTTAGGTATAAGTCAAAAAGGAGAATTCATAAGGAACCCCTAATTCCTTCATTTTTCTACTATATTCCCACCTCTTAAAGTTGTGCAAGTATGTCACTTGGTAAGTCACCATATTATATGCCGACTGGCTTGTCAAAGACAGTGGCATAAATAAATGAGCAGAGCAGAAATGAGCAAGATTGAGCTGTGGATTATTAACTCTGAGGAAAATTCAATGGCCACAGGAGACTTGAGTGTTACACTAACAGTATGCAATGATGGTGGTGATACTTTTTAGATACAAGTATAGATACATATGCATTTTTAAGAGGGAGGGCTTAATGATACTATCAGATTCTTTCCACAAAGAAAAACTATTGTAGTTTTTCAGAATATTAAGTTTTGCCATGTAAAGACTGATAAAAAATAGGTTCTGAAATAAATTTGTAAAATTATCTTAAAGTTCTGCAGTAACCGAAAGAATTAAAGGCCCCTGAGGGATTAGGGAAGATCATTCAGCTTGCAAAGAGGAATCATGGAGAAGCAGCAACTGACTGTAACAACGCTGAACTTGAACCAATCAAACCAGACTGAAAGGAATTTGAAAAGTTCAGGCAAAATTTGTATGTAGCAAACATTCTAAAATTTTGAATTCAGTGATTCAAAATGTATGCAATTGCTTACCTAAATGTATCCAATGGAGGTTCTATCGGGGAGAGAGGCCTGGTAACACACTGAAAAAACCACAATGTTTCAGCAGAGAACTGGGGATCAAGCCCCCTGTCTGCCATTTCCTAGCTGTGAGACCTTGAGTAATTTAACCTTCTCTGTGCTGCATTTTCCCTCATCTGTGTAATGAGAATTAGTAATGGTATCCTCCCTACAGCAAGAGATTCTTAGGAGGCATAAACTCATTCATTACCGTGGCCAGGGTTTTTAGAAACTGCAAAATGCTATCGCACATGTATTTTTAGATTATTATTGTCAGGGCTCTTCAGTTACCTTTGTGTGTATTTTAAGCACATCAAGTTACTAGATGCTTTGAGGACACGCAGTTAATAAGACCTTCTCCCAATTTGGAGGAAATTATAGTCTTAGGCAAGGACTCCTAATCTTTGAGAATGGGCAGAAAATATCTTGCCATCCTTTCAATTTTGTAAGAGCAAAAGTATCCTGTCATAATTAAAACAAGCCAACTGACCAGTGGCAGCAAAAGTCAGGAGATTATTTTGCATGTACTAATTGAATTTATCTTCCAAATAAGATGTGTGCAGTTCTAAATTAGCAGGCGGAGTGGAAAGTATCACATAAGCCCCACATAAGCACGTGAGAACGTAGCTTAACCACTGCCCATATCAGAATTCTCCAACTCTGTCAAAAAGGTAAAGATTAGCTCTGTCTTTGCAGCAGCAGCATCTTGTTTTCAATGACTACCGGTGCTTCAGGAAACACTCATTTAAATGTCTTTAGGGTCCAGATGAATTCAACAACACTGGCTTTAATATAAGAATAAAGCAGCCCAAATAGACTAGAAAATCCAGTAAAAACATGTTCCTTCATGCCAGAGTTATCCTTTGAAGAGCTGGGGGGTGGGGGGGGGAGAGGAATGCATTAAAAGACAAACCTATTCTAAGAATGCCTCATTTAATGGAATTCCTTATTAAACTGGTTCATAGGTACTGGGATCCAGTCAGGTTTCTTGAACATGACTATGGGCACTACAGGTCTCATTCCACCACCAGTGAGAGATCACTTTTGCCTCCCACATGCCTTGAATAAAGGGCAGAAGAGAAGGCTTCTTTCCTTCTCCATGAAACTTCTGTCCATCACAACAACTACACAGTATTTATTTACTAAAGCTTAATTTGCAAACTCAGTCATCCAAAGGATCTCCTGAATAAGTGTCAAATCTGTTTTCAAAGACAGGAACAAATAGAGCTTGAAGGAATCTTAAAATAGCCATACATGCTGCAGCATTAGCAGGTACCATATTCCCGCGTCTTCTGTATGTACTCCATCAGTTGAAACTGTGAAGCCGGAGGAGAATCGTGTGTGTACTACCATTGAAACATATCTGCTAAGATCAGAGCATTCACAAATGCCAAGAAGTGATAGGGCAGAGTTTCTCTATTTGCTTTACTGACAATTATTGGGAAACTCCATTTTAGCACAATCATTTCTCCGTATTTTGGTTTCTAATATAGGAACCTATATGAGTTCAGATGTTACTTATACGTCAGCCAGTGTGGTGGGAGCAGGGAGGCTTGCTTGCTCTTCTCTGGTTCATAAATTCAAATTCCGTGGTACAAATGGAAGAACAGATTATTGAATCAAAAATGAATTAGTTTCCTTTACAGTAACTCAGGTAGTCTCAAGGGTGAATTTGAGTAAGGCAATAGTTTTCGCATTTATTACTTTGCCAGTTAGGCTCCTTATTATTAAGAAGTAGTCTATTTATTCTCATTCTAAATTTGGAAATTCAAACGTAGACTTTTGGTTAAAATAGGGAATTCAGCATAGATGTACCTTTTATTTTTCCTCAGCTGTAAATATTGAAAATCTTTAAACTTTTTTTTATTTAAAATTATTTTAAGATTTTGTGATTCTAATTTTGACACCCTGTTTTCAAAAATATATAATTACTTTTTGTAGCTCAGTTGTGATCCTAGAAGAACATAATACTTTTGCCCAGATGACATAATATAGTAGATAATTGTGTGCTCCATTGTGGGGTTTTGGGGTGTTTTTTGTTTTTTTGGGGTTTTTTTGGCCATGTTAGTGGTTGGCATAGTGATTAAATCACTAAGGTAGTCAAAGTAACTGGGTAGGTTAGCATGCATTTTGCCTCTTAATAAATGAATTGGATTATACTGTGGCAGTCTGATTTCTTCTGAGGTGTTGACTATAAGTATAGCTAGAAAAAATGAAATTCATGGCCATACATTACATTGTCTCATATGTTCTTAATATGATCCTAACTACAAAATCCTTAAGGCTTAATGGCTAAAACAGCATCATATATGTTAATCAGCATATATTATCTGTGATGTGCTTACTAAACAGTTTTATATACATGTACTTAAATATCAATTGTTTGTATTTAAATATACGTAAACATTTATGTATAAACCTACTTAAATTATGTTCATATTTCTTTTCCCTTGCTCTATGAATCAAAACTATTTTTAGAATTAAAATTATAAAATGAGAGTTACAGAGTCAATACTTAGCCCTAAATTATAGAGCCCCCAAACTGTTCATGTCTGTAATTGTCTCATCATAAGGATTACTTCTGATCATCTTAAACCTTTAGTATAATTGGTATTCATTTCCTAACCACTAAGAAAATTGATTTACATACTCAGAACCCTAATAAAGAAGAAAACTCAACATTCCATAAATAGCCATAGTTAAGAAAAATCACTTGCTTGGGGTAATTCTCTCATGTTGCCTGTACTGCAAGGACTCTAGAGCAACATAAACACATTGTAGTAATTAACACTGCAGTGGAAAATATAATTACATAATATTCCCGTTAATGATACTATACAATTATCAACTGAAGGTTTTTGAGCAGATAGTGTTAAGAGGTCTCTGTGACTGGAATTGGCATCATAAAGTTCCTTACATAAAATGACCAGCATCATTTAGTAAGAGTTCTTGGATCATTTTTTAACCCTTAAATGCCAAAACAGGAAACTCAATGCATGTATTGCAAACCTTGAACTTCTTCTATCATCCTTTTGTTTTACTCTCAAATTGGGGGTGGCTGAAACACCAAAAGATCACAGAAAGTA